AGGCAGGCTTATCAAGATCTGAAGAACCTGACGAGGATGCAGGACCTGATTGACAAGCTGCAGAGCAAGGTCAAGAGCTACAAGCGCCAGTTTGAGGAGGCGGTAAGTGCCCATCCCCACCGCTGCTCTCCTCCGGGGCCAGAGGACGGTGCTGTCCCTCGCCGGGGCTGCCTGCGATGGCTGCAAGAGAAAGGGGCCATGAGGTTGGTGTGGGGAGCTCGCAGCCTGGTGTCCTGGCTGGGCCCCATGCACCCACCTCTCCCCTCACCCCATCCAGGAGCAGCAGGCCAACTCCAACCTGGTGAAGTACCGCAAGGTGCAGCACGAGCTGGACGATGCAGAGGAGCGTGCCGACATCGCCGAGACGCAGGTCAACAAGCTGCGCGCCCGCACCAGGGAGGCCATCACCTCCAAGGTAAGCCCACCCGGCTGCGGGGACGGGGAAGCAGGGCAGGGGCTCCTGCCATCCCTGGACCCAGGGGAATGGTTGCATGCTGCTCAGCACTGCCGTGGCCAGGACCTGAAGGGTGGCAGAGCTCTCCCTGCCTCCAGGCCCAGGCTCTTACAAAGCCATTTTGGTTTTTGTTTTTGCCAGCACGAGTAGGAGCGCGGCTGCCTGCCCTGTCCTGTCCCCAGCTGCCTGCTGTAGGTCGGAGGCAAATGGCTGCAACAGTCACTGCCAGCTTTGCACCGCGTGAATAAACGTAGATCTGCCAGGCCTTGCTCCGTTGTGTCTGTCATAGGGTAACCAGGGCCTTGGCCTCTGCTGGGGGAGATGTGGGGGGCAAACTGGGGTCCCCGGGGCCACGTTTCACAGCCGGGTAGGGTCAGGAGAGGCACCGGCCTCCCCTCTCCCTGCTCTACAGCCCTGGCTCGGCTCCAGGCATTAGGTGGGTGTTGGGAAAAGAGCCCTTTCCTCGTTCCTCCCCACCACAACACTTCTGCCCTCTCTCAGCTGCAGGGGACCAGAGGTGAGGGGTGAGGGTGGAGGGCAGGACAGACCTCACTGAAACTGATGCTTCTGGGGAGAACACAAACCCCCCTAACTACAGCCCTGCAGGGCAGAGGGGGGGTTGTTACGGCTTCGGCAAAGGGACTGCAAAGAAAGACATCTCCACTCGTTTCTTTAAAATAGATTTCTTTAATAGTTTCCATTTAATATGTTTATTTGCAGTTAGTAAATTGGCATTAATCTGGGCAGCACGAACCTCAGCAATCCGTGGGGACAGTGCAGACTTTCAGAAGTATTTGTTAGTGACAGGGGTCCCACCTCCCGCCCCATCCCAGCACGCTGCCTGCCCCAACCTCTCCCCAGCACCACGCAGGACACTTCCTCCCTGTGCTCTCCATAAATAAGACAAAACAAGGATGAAGGACAGAGCTGTCTGGTCCCTCTCAAAACGACATTCTTGAGGCATCTGGCACGGACAGGAACATGGCCCCCAGTTAAAACGTGCCCGTGACCTTCTCTGCAGGCAGAGCCTTTCCCCTGCAGCCCAGCGTGCTCCCTCCACAGAGGAGCTGCTGTGGGTTTCTTTCCTGTGCCCTTCTCTGCAGCCAGCCAGCTCGGCCTCCTGTGTCAGCCTGAAGGCAAAAGGAAAGCCAAGCTGCTTCTAGCAGGTGAGGACCCAAAAGTTCCTGTGCTCGCCGGCTGGGGAGGAGACCCACGAGGCAGAAGGCAGGCTGGCGTGAGTTCAGCTCGGCCTCACGCAGGCCGAGAGCCAAGGAGAGAGGCAGCTTGGCCCCTACCTGTACTTTACATAAATAGGGAGATGGACATGAGACTCTGCAGATTTATAGCAGCAATCGTTGGATGCACCAATTAACTAGACTATGGAAAAGGCATCCCTTAACTTAAAAAGCTTTTTAATTTGAAGCATTTATTTTAAGTGTACATCTATTACAGTTAAGAAGCAAAGATACACCAAAAACACAAATACCCAAGAACAAAAGAAGTACAGGTGAGAAAGAAATTAGCTCAGGGGAGGGAGGGAGCAGGGTAGGGGTGACCTGATGAAGAACAGAGAGTTGCAGCTGCCCTAGCGAGGAGCTCCCCAACACGACGGGTGCAACCGGCGTAACCTCACTGGAGCAGGGCAGAATCTGCCAGGGGAATTCAGCCCCCCAGGGAGGGACACAAGGATCCCCAGGAGCTCCCGCAAGCAAAAGTACTGACTGCAAGTCCATAGCAGGACACCCAAGTGTGAGGTAAGCGAGAGGAGAAGGGTGACTTCTAGAGAGCAAGTCCTGCACCTGGGGCTGGAAGCCTCATTCACTCATCCAGACCCCAGCACAGGGAGCCTCAGAGTGGGTTTCATTCTGCTGGCAACGATTAAGAGAGAAAACACTACAGCTCTGGGACATCCTCGCCGCAGGTCCCCTCTCCAGAGCCTGGAGAGAGCTGAAGTCAAGTCATGTCATCAAATAAGTTAAGAAAATAATAATAATAAAAAATTCAGATGCATGTTTCAAAGAAAACTGGTTTCTTTTAGTTGGAGCTGCAAGATGCATTATTTTTTGACTTAAATGCAGTGGCTCAGGACTTCAGACGGTATCTCATTCCTGGGAATTAACGTTGGTCAGCTAGCAGGGCACATGCAGGTTTGGCGATCAGGACAGCCAAAACCCAGTTCTTCCTTTCCCAACATACCCTACAAAGTTACTTTCAACCAGGAGTGTTTATTCCCAGCATTTAACACATTCTGATTAAAACAGATCCAGGAAAAATAACATCTCCAGTAAATATTGCACTTCAAGATTAATGTGTGTGTTGATATTAAGGACTGAAAGCAGAGACTGACGTAAGACTTCCAGGCATAGCAGGTTAGCATCAAGAGCAATGGTCCGGAAAAGGATTTTAAAACCAGATTAGTTACCCAAGAAGGGACAAGCCGCAAAGTTTAAAAAATTAGTACATTTTAATGCTAGTGCTCTGTGAAAAAGCCAACCCATGTTGCAATTCCACCACTGCTGAAATGTCTCTGTTCTCCGCAGAATTGTAAAACACCTTCAGATGGGAAGGATCTGCAGGAAAGACAGCAGGAGCAGAGGTTCTCTCCTAACGCACAAACAGACAAGATTTAGTACCAAACGATCCAAAAGTAGATGGTGAAGAGGTGACTGGAGCTAGGGGCTCTCAGGAATTAAAAGCACACACACTCACGCACACACGCACACACACTCACACTCCAACCAACCCTAAACCCCCGATTCCAAACCCCAACAGAAGAATTACACCTGAAGGGAGTCCTCGTGGTGGCTCTGCACGTGGCTGGTGTCAGACTGGCTCCTTGGACCTCACATTTGGAGGGCAATTTCTGTGCTTTTTGACTTGCTAATTCTGGTAGCCATGAAAGAGAGCCACAACTAAATTGGCACATACAGAGTATCCTCATCTGTCAGCAAAAAAAAACAAAACCCAACTCTGACCAGCCACGCTGGGCTGGAAGAGAGAAAAAATAAAAATAAAGAGGCTGGTTTTTGCAGGTGATTATTTTTATCCCAGAACAACTGGAAGATACATCCCTGAATGTGTTGCCCAGAGAGCTTTCCAAATCTCATCCGTTAGAGATCAGAGATGGGGACTGAGAGGGGGCTGGGGTTTTGACAACGCAGTAACGCTCCACGGTTCCAAGCCGCACACGCACACACACACTACACAGCGTATCCCTGAAAATCCACGGGCTGCGAGGTACCCTCCAAGCGCTGTCCATCAGAAGCCAGAGCGAAGAATTACTCCTCAGAAAAGTCTCTGTCAATGTCCATATATGCCTCGTCGATGTAGCTAACTATGGCACAGGGGGATGTCCGGTCTGGACTGAGCAGTATAGATACAGTCTCTTTCCAGTAGGTAAAACTAATACATGAGCTCTGTGGGGAGAGATGAAGAGGCTGGTTAGCGTCATCCACTGGCACCAACATGCAGCAGAAGACACATCCCAAAAGCATTCAGCGGAAAGAACTGAAAATTGCTTCCTATTCAGCCTGACTTTCCTTGGCACACGGTTTAACACCTCTGATTAACCATTCAGTCCACCCTCCCTGGGGTGTGGAGCAGAAGGGGTGGACGTGGAACCAACCACACCACCTACAACCAACCTCCCACTATCCAGCTACAGGCAGGGACTCCCAGCACCTGCAGCAACAACAGCCCGGTTCAGAGCAGCACAGGGTGACCACCACCCCAGCAAGCCTGCGTGGACCAGCAGGCAGGGCTGCCCATGAGCAGCACACACATACAAGCCTCAACTTCTCCTTTGCTGTCCAGTCCAAACACAAACTGGGACATCACGGTGCTGCAGATCAATGCTGGCAGTAGCTCCCACTCCTAGGGAAGACACAAAGACAATACACCCTCCCTGCTTGCATCACTCCAGCATCATTCTCTCATAGCCAAAAGGCCTCTCCGGCAGCCCTACACCACATCATGTATTACCCAAAGCCTTTACACACCAGACAACTATTTATTTCCACCTTGCTAGTGGCCCAAGACACAACAAGTTCTGCACTGTGTGTGCACAGCACGATGTGACCCTGAAACACAGTGATGGCAGAGAGCTTTGCTCTCAGCAGCATCTCCCCGTTGCAGCCCAGCCCACCACAGACACATCAAACCACGGCATGAACATTGTAACACGGCACTCAGGCGTTGCAGGCCCCACATCACCCTGCCGCTCCCCCAGGCCTACCTGGCTCAGCCTAGCACTGATCCCAGCAGGAAGCGAGACAAGTCTGCACCGTTCAGTGCAATTTCTCCCTCCCACACGGACTCCCTCCATCACACTCCCCCTTTCCAGGGAATTGAAGCTCCTTATTTTAACTGCTTCCAAAGCCCTAATACCGCTCCTCTTCAGGTACCTCATCTATAGGAGATTGCCTGCACTGCACTCATGTCGCAGCCGCAGGGCTGTGTGCTGCAGTGTATGTACACACCAGAGAAGATGGGCTTTTCCGTGAACACATTAAAAATCTGTTAAAGCTGCCACCCAATCACTGAAAAGTCAAGGAAGAAACCTGTGCAACCTCACTTCAGCCTTCTAGGGCATATACAACAGAGTTGTCTTCTCATCACAGGTCATTTCTTCCTCTTCTCAGTGCCCAAGATAGCTCTGGAGTGGAAACTTGCAGTCTGCTTTCCACAGGGCAGCTGCCTTGTCTTCTGGCAGCTACACCAGATACTCTTCCTGCACTGTTTCTCACACCAGAAGAAAGGGAACAGTCTGGTTAAGGTGCTAACTAGTTTGGGAGCTGGACTCTTTCCTGCCTCCACACCCCTGTGCAGGGCTGGCCATCTCACCAGCCCTGCCTCTCAAGCCTGCTCAGCATTTGCAAGTCTCACTTCTGTGTGACAGAACCAAGACCTACGGTCTTGTTTGCAGGGAAACCCAGCATCTACCTTGTGGTAGTCTGACTGCTCGCAGAAGGGACCTGACTGAGTAAGACAGTGTGAAAAACACTACAGAAAGTTACACCGGGGAAGAACTTGCTCCCTTCTTTCCCTTCACAACCTCTCACTTCCCATTTTTGCTAGGTGACTAGGAGACAGATACTGCTACAATTGATTCTTGCTATGGTAAGAGGTGCACATACATTTTCTAAGCAGGTGCTGTCTTTATCCTTGTTGAGGTAATGCTGTTGCCAGAATCGCAGGAGACTGTGGAAGTTGTTCAGGATGAAGCCTGGGTATTTTTCTGTGTATTCCATCTGTTGCAAAGTGCGCAGATAAAAAGGTAGCTTTTCTTTCCTTCGGGCCAGCATTAGGATAACTAAACTTGTGTTCAAACAACTGACATTTTCCTAAAAGTAAAAATGACACATAGATCAAACAACAACACCACAACAAACAAACAAAGAAATATCAAGATAGCAGTTGAACACATGTCCTTGCAAAACGCGGTCATGGTAAGCATGCAGAAGAGGTGCTCCTACATGTATCAAGAAAGAAGGAACATGGGTCTCCTCAAGAGATGCCAGGTTCCTCCCTGCTCCCAGCCCAGTTCATCACTACACTATCAGCAAGATAACCGCAAAGTTACTGTCAGCTCTTTACCTGCGTAAGTGTCTGTACATGAATAATATTAATGAGACGGAAAAGGAAGGACATTCTCATGGACATCTGGGACATATATGATAACAGGCGGCACTCTGACAGGACTTCTGCAACTGCAGCAAGACAAAAAAGACAATCATCAGGTACTTAAAGTTCAGACACATTGGTCCAAGCACAACAGACTGTAGCAACAAACCTGCAGGGTGGCATTTCTCCATCTAAATCCAAAATCTAGACTTAAAATAATTATTACCACTACCAAACACCTCCCCCCCCATTTCTTGTTCTTTACCTTTAGCATCAGACTGATTCTCAAATCGGTCCAGGGACAGCGTAATGCAGCGAACAAGCATGTTTGAGTCAACCAATGAACTGTTGATCTGATTTAAAAATATCTGGAACTAAAGAGAAAAACTTTTTAGTGTTGCATTAAAAAAGAAACAAAAAAAATCAGCCTACATGAACACTCATAGATGAGGTCTGACAGAACAGCATTTCATACCCTTTTCAGACTCTGTATGGCCAAGAGGCATACTAAACCAACTACTCTGTTGGTGCTAGGGGAACAGGTCAGCGAACCAAAATAGGAAGAGCTACGAACAGGGTTTGGCAAGTAGGGCAACAGTAAGCATCCTCCAGATTTTCAACACTGGATGAGTACAGTTCTTGAAGGTTACTGGAGAAACCGCCTTGAATTCTGAGTACAAGCACCTAAAATACAGGCTTCACCAACATAAGGCTTCACAGACATGGACAATTTCCCCTTCCCTTCAGAAACAAGTTAGGTTCTGAATGCCAAAATACTCAGGGTCATTAGCTTTTTGTTATCTCTAACAAGAATAAAAGGAGGTGTACACCCCCGGGCCTGCCTCATCCAGTCCAAGCCAGTACTGGCACTAAGGGCTGACCAAACGATCCCTATAGCAAGTACCTTAAAAACACTACGGAAGAGAAAAATGTCAAAGTCCTGGCACCACTAAAATCTTTTTTGAAGCTGAGTCACTTCAATGGGACCACAACTTCATACACTATTTGTTTTGAAAGAGGGAGATGAGATAGTATGGCTGCTGGCTGTAGTTCCTCCAGCTCCATGTTTTCCTACACTTATTTTGTACAAGCAGACAGTGCTAGGGAGGAATACGGTGAGGGATTCATACAGAACGAGAATTAAAAAATAAGTTATAGATCAACAAATAGAAAGGCACACGAAGTATAAAGACAGATTCTCAAGAACATGTGAGTTCATTTACCAGAAAACAACCTGAAATTAAATACAGCTTTCTTTTAAACACATTTCTGCTTCCACCCACCAAGGTCTGCCAGACCAACAGCAACCAGAGAAAATTTACAGTACCATAAACTAGAGTACGAGGTCATTCAAAACCCACCCAACAGCTGATGTTATATGCACAAAGTGCACAAAAGCATGAAAACACTTTGCATAGAGAGCTGCCCATTCTTGATCCACATATGCAACTAAGCTTTACAGGTAATTACATCAGCCATGACTTTCTGTAAGTTCAAATAAAATCAAAGAGAAGTCTTTTTGCAGTATCAAATATTAATATTTTAAGTCATCTCTATGGAGACACACGCACCCCACACACCCCCCCGCCAAGATCCACTAAAAGATTTTTTTTGGAGCCTATCTCAATGTCCACAACTATCAGCTTAACCCAAAACCCAGTGACTTCACAGGAAACGTTCTACCATCTTTGAGCTCTGACTTTAGGCTTGCCTGATCATGTTAACAGGGCAGTGTATTCTGAACAGCTCAGTGCTTGCTGACTCAGAACAGCTGGGAGCACTTCTGAAAACAGTGTATGCAGCAACATACATGCTTGTGAAGAAATTTTGGCAGCTTACTCCTTAGTGTTTATTGTGCACCGAGCTCAACAATCACACCAAAATCAGCAAATGCATCTGAATTTCTCAGTGCTAGGTTTGGTTATAAAGGCATGTAATTTGACCCACTGTGGACAGCTTTTACAAATATTTACCTTCTCATCTGTGTTGATGTACTTGTTGAACCTCTTGAATGCATCAATATTGAATTTCATCAGTTCTCCCAGAAGGTCAAAGTAACTCTGAAGCACATCTCGTGATTTGCATTCACTATCAACAATGCAGTAGAGAATATGCTGGTATAGGGGGAAAACATGTTATTGCCACAGTTCAGCCCAAGCCAGCAGTACAGCACAGACTCTGACTTAATCACTATTTAAAACATTTATCTGCAGGTTAAGTTCTTAGATGACAGAACTAAAGATAACAATTCAGCTGAGTCTTCTGTTAAATTAACTTCCCAATGATGCAGGCTATACAACTGGCCACTCCACACCTGGTTGCCACAAGCAGAATTCACAAATAATTTTCAAAAATTGCTCTATTCCGTTTTTTACACCCTTTTGAATTCAGTACAGATGAATCCTTCTTCATTGCTACGGAGATACATTACAGATGAAGCCTGACATATACTTCATTACCTCCAGGAGTCCTCGCTTTAGCAGGAACATCTGGTCTGCATAGGAGGTGGTGCCTCGCAGAAAACTTTCAACTGCCCTGGCTTGCCAAAACCTGAAAAATAGAAGAAATGAGAATTTTAATATTGGAGCAAGGGGAGTATTTTATCACAACTCTAATTTAAATCAAATTTCCTAATCCGTTTCATTCCAATCTGAAGCTGGAAACAGACTTCTCGATCCTGCAGAAAATCACTGACTGTACTGGGTATGAGGTCCAATGCAAGCGCTGGCATTTTCCCTCACCTGCACTGCCACCGTAGCCAAGTGCAACAAAGCCAGATCTTTTCACAGCTTATGATTTTTCAACTGCTATAAGCCATATGAAAACAAACTGACTTCCCAGTCAACTCAAAACAACACGTTACAGCGCAAAGTGAACCCACCTGAAGGAGGATTCAGCTGGTTCCTTCTTCATAACCTGAAGCAGTCTGGTCAACAAACCTCTTTTCCCATCACAGACAAGACTCCTAGAGCATGTAAAGAAATTACAGCATGAGTGGAAGGGCTAGCAAGCACCGTACCTTATAGAACACTGAATCCAGTCCCTTTTCCACAGCTTTTAATGATCAAAATCCCAGTATTAAATATACAGTCCAAATATTCATTAACTTTCATTACTAGTTCTACCAGTGGAAGAGTTCTCCTCACTGCCTTTGGTAAATATTTGCAATACCTGCGACATAACTTCCAAATAAATCCTAAAGAAAAATTATTCATTTTCTCTCAAAATTTTAATGATTTCAGAAATACCAATTCACAGCTTGTAGGAATGAAGACATTAGAAAAAAAAACATATACCACATTTGAGCTTTGGAATGAAAGAAACACACCTTTTCTGCTCAACAAATGTAAAGGAAGCTCCAAGTTCTGTTTAGGAGGCAGAGCAGAGTACAGAAACCTAGACGCTACATGAGGTAGCTGCCTTCTGTATGTAGCAGAAAAAGTATAGAGGCTGCAGAACTGCAATATTAATTGTATTAAATAGCATCTTCAGTGGAGTATCTACTGACAGTAAGTTCATGTGAAAGCAATGCCTTGATCTCATGTATCAAAGAAAAGCAAAACGGAAACAAAAAGCTAAGGGTGAAAAAGTAACCAAGTTTAGGCCAGTAACTGAGCAATGCTGCCTGTCCAGCTATACAAACCATTCTGCAGAGGTAAAATAAGATGCTTCAAGGGGCATTCTTCTACTCAAAAAAAACCCCCAGCACGCATATTCAGCAGATGCACCCAGGTTAATGGGTACATACTGTATCAGCACCTCTGCTGGGCAGCGAACAGCCAGCTGACAAAGCCCTTGTGGGAAGTGGCTTTCTTGCAGCATGATAGTCTGTTCTTACTAATACCTGACAGAGATGAGAAACTCTGCTGGTTGGAAAAAGCTGTTTACACCCTTGATCTGCTTCTTTTCACTGAATTTTTCCCCCCAAAAACTTACTCCTTTTTGAACAAAGCCAGAAAGGTTCCTGCGCTTAGAAGGAAAGGATCAGGAGTAATACAGACACCATCTCTTCCCAAATAGGCACAATATTATGATAGTAATTATAATCCAGAAATCCTCTTAGATAATTCCCTTTTGAAGCGAGGTAAATCTGCTCTGTGCAGACCAAGTCCCTGCTGACACTCTGGGAGTATTCTGACAACTAAATTCTGCAAACAATGTTTCACCTTGTGAGGTCTGTACATCAGAATCGTGTATTAAAGAGCTTATTAAATCAAAATAGTCAATCTAAAAGATACTCAAATATAACACTGGATATTCTCTAAGTGGTTTAACATGTTAATCTAATTTAGCTTACTCTAGTTATTAGCTGCTCTTAAAATAAAGACTCTGAGAAGACACACTTAGATCTGTTTATGCAGACTGGAAATGGGCATGTGCGCAGAGACTGCTCCTGAATCTCAAAACTAAGATTTATTAGTAGCAGCAATTCACGCATTAGAGGGATCTCAGTTTACTTTCTGGGTCTGTGTGAAAAGCTTGTAGTGAGAAAGGCCAGACAAACAGGCAGACCTGGCCCGTCATAATGAAGTCTGGGCCATGAACCCCTATTTTGGGTTGCTTTTGGTTCTTAAAGCGCCTTACTCTGAGCACAAGCACACTTTAGATTTGCTAATGACCATGAATATCGTACAAACCTAGACACTTCCCACTGAAACATGTCACTGAAATTAAAGCAAGTGCAGTGGACAGAAGGACCTCAAACAAAACAGGTAACATCAAACCTCCAATATAAGTGCTTGAAAAACGCTACAAGCTGCCCACCTAAACCCTCTACCCCTACTCACCTATCTGTGTTGACAACCGCATCAACTTCAGGGATGTTGGCTTTATGGGAGATTGCACTCAGCTCATTAAGTTCTTGGCTGTTTAAAAGGAGATACTTGTTCCTAAAGCAAGACAGTTAGGGAGTAGGGGAGAAAAATACGATGAATTCGAGAGGCAGACAAACGTGCAATTCCCTGAAGAGTAAAACCATGCAGCTATGAGGGTTGCAGGACTAGGCAATCAGCTTTCACCTTTCCGGCTCTTTGGAGCCGTTCATGCTCTACTCCCCTCCACCACAGCACACTCCCAAGGTAGGCCAGCTCACTGCTGTTTTGTAAGCCTCCTCCAAAACTTACCAAATAGAAGTTTCAACACTGACCAGCTTTGAGATGGTGGTTCTTTGCTGACCTGTTCAGAATCTTATGGTCTGTTTTGTAAATATTTGCTTCCGGGTAACACTCATTTTTAAAAAATCTCAGCAACAGTTTGCTGAATTTCAGAAGACTTAAATAGCAAACTTTGTCACAGCTTTCTACGTTTTTTCTCTGCCTTATAGTGATCATGCTCTTTATCACTAACAAATCTCAGTTAGAAAGCAGAAACCGCAAAAGAAGTACTCAATCATCCTGGTATTTTATTACTATGAGCAAACTGTTTACTCTGGAAATATTTAAAAACATTATGAAATGTAGAAAACAGAATAGGAATGGATATAAAACCAAGGAATTTGCATGAAATTTTTTATCAAATACTGAACTTTTCATAATGAAAATCAGTTAACTTATCTGTAAACTAAATGCACAAAAAGTCTGACAATGTAGAAACGTAGCCCAGAGGCTCCCTTTGACAGACTCCCTGCCCAATGTCAGCATGCTCCCTTAGAGCCCTCCTACTTCAAAATTCTCAGAATCAGACAAAGGTTTATTTTCAGGAAACCTAAGGGAGCACAGGATGCAGTGATGAGTGTGAGGGTCTGCAAAGAGAACCTATTCATCAAAACATAGCAACTACACATAAGATAAATTATTAGACCAGAAAGGCGACAGAGGTGCCTTCTTGCTTCAAAGACTATCTTCCAGACTAGTGCCCACTGAGGCTGTCCTGTGAAGCTTCTTTTGATCTGGATCAACAGCGTTCTGTAATGAAAATACAGCCTCTCTCTCCATGCAATAAACAGTTCTGCAAGTTTGGTTTATACACAATTCTACTGAAGTTAATATTAGTATATTAAGTACTTGCTCTCATCTTGTCCTCAGCTAACTCAGCTTATCTGTGATTTCATAGAAAGTTCATGTAACTATTTGTTTAAAAACCCTAACCAGATTCCACATTCCACTTGGTCAAATGTTACAGCTGAAAGCTGTTTTCTGTTTAAACAAGCCTGAGATCTTTGTAGTAGCCACTTCAGTAGGAACATTATCTAAAGAGATTTTATTGGAAAACCTGGAGTGATTCCTGGGCAAACAATGTCTTACGTGGAGGATTTATAATAGGTCAGCCTTCCCCTTATGTTTACAGTACGTCCAGCAGCTCCCCATTCTTAAAGCTAATACTCCACAAAAAGGCTGATTCTTCCAAGATGCGTATCTAACAGTACTAGATAGAGCCTGCACAAAAATACCACCCTGACTGTAGATACGACCAGCTAGGCAAGAAGCGCAATATGCCTCAAATGCAGATGTTTGTAAGCAACAGGACACCATCTTGCAGCACTGAATTAGAGCAACAGGACACTGACAGAATGCAAGATATGATTCTACAAGTCAGACTAGAGCAACAAGTACCCTGCACCAGCAGTACAGCATTAGAAAAACCCCAAGCAAACTGCATCACCCCTCCGACTACTCCAGCAGACTCAAGCTTCCTAAGTATGCCTTTTGAAGGCAAACAAAAGCTTTCTTCCTATTTCCAATCTAGCTTCCCCGATGGCTAGCTGACAGATAATTGTTCCCCTAACATTTTCCCATTGAGTTTAATCAGGTCTTCTCTATGGCTGGCATTTAGACAGCAATCATGTCTTCCCAGCATTTTTACAAAGGCAAAATAGTATTAACCTTTTCAGAGGTATGCTGTCTTTCACCCTGATCTTCCAACAGCCTTTGTTTCATGCTTGTTCCGCTCTGAATTAAACTTGAACATGTCCCCATAGGGTACATGTACTCTCATGAGCACACTGGCTGACTACCAACTCTCAGGGAGAAGACAGATAAACAGCATCATGAAAGCTGCCTCTCTATTTCTTTAGCCAGAAAGCATTAACTCATCATATAAATGTTTCAGTTTGTTTCAACATGAAGCAAAATGGGCTATTTTTAATCATCAACAGACATACTAAGACATGCCCACTGGAGAGCATATCCTTAGCCTTTTCATAGCAGGAGCCGAAAGGCACGTGAACATCTGAATTGAGTTTAAGGACACTACAATGTTCCATTCACATGGAGCCTGCACCATGCCTAGGACACCCGCTGTAACTGCAACCAGGCAAACAATACCACCGAGCCACAATCTATCACAGCTTTTCATACTCACTCATGGTGATCGCTAAAGCTCTGAAGAAGCCTCAAGAACTGTATCTTTAAAGTAATGTCCTAAAAAGAGACAAGAAAGGTCAAAAAATTTTGCTTCAGTATTTTTGGATATCAGTAGTTACCAAGCTGACATGAAACAGCTGAATTGAAAACCTATCCAAATCAAACCCATTTTGACAGCAGAACAAGTGACTTGCATAAATGGGGAAGACTGCACTTTACACGCAGAAATAGAACAGAAGTGGAGATTTCCTCCAAGCCTATGCATGTAACAGTTAATAATTTCTTCTTACTGCAAAGGTAAAAAAAGCTTATCACTGTATTGATCAATTTAGAATATCCAGGTTCGGGGGGGCGGGGAAAGAAACAAACCCAACAAAACAACAACAACCCCCCCCCCAAAAAAAAACCAACCCATGACTGTGATCCATTTTGTGTTCTGTGCCTCTCCTTGCTAGACCCATTAGCTACCATTTCCTTAATATTCTGGTTGTCTTCTACCTTTGGCCTCCAGGGACCACAGAATTCACCCCTTTCCCAGTTCCTAAATTTGGAGAGAGGGGAGAGGCTAAATTGCCCTCTGCCAAATTGCCAGCATAAGCCAAAGATAAAGATTTCAGTGAAAACAGTAATTCACAAAAAACTGAATGCTACCACATCTCAACTCATTTATTATACAAGCACCCAGTTACTCAATACAACTCCTCAGAATTACAGGATAGGATAAAAATCCATGACAGGATCTAAAAAGTTACTCACTGGGCTACAATCACAATTTTGATTGTGTCCATGCAGAACAAGGGCTGATGCCGAATGCTTTCTCCAGATCAGTTTGTCAAACAAGTTATTGAGGCCAGGAATCAGTCTGAACTCTGCTATCATTTTATGAACCTGGAAAACAAGAGAAGTACATACTCATTCGTTGCAGCCTCAAATACGGATATAACGTAGTCTGGTAAACAGATGGGCACAATTACGTCATCCTGTGGCAACAGAAAGAGTGAATTTTTTTTATCGAATAGCATGTGTTTGTGCTAACATGCAGACTAACCACGGTGTATCATTCGAGTAGTTTCCATTTGGTGGACACAGATAAAAACCAGACGTTTTGGGAGAGAGCTGTTAGCCAGTGCTTCAGTTAACCATTGTGCCTCTGGAAGCAGCTTTAGACATCGGGAGATCACTTACAGCACATTCAAAATACATCTATACCTAACTTCTCATCCACTGAGCATCCTTCGCTTTCTAGTTCACACAGCTGAAGCTGAGACAGTCCACTGAAGACAATACAAACTATTGATACTGGTTTTGTTCAAGTGACCTAGGCAGGAGTTCTGAGCAGAGCAGAGTCCAGCAGTAACACAACCACGCTGCAGTTCAAGTGCTGCTGCTTCAGGTTAAGGGGAAGTTGAACTTCTTTAGAGAATGCTCAGAAGAGAAGAAAATGCCAAATTACTCAGGTTTATTTATCAGTATGCCTGCCAAGCTAGGACGCGGTACCTCATGACGTGTTTGAAGCAGACTGTAGAGTTAGTCATGTAAAAAAGCTAGTAATTTTGGTGTAAATAGCTGTTAAATACCTTCAGTAGAAGCTGTGATACTTTTGATGTATCAATTTGGAAAACTGATGTAATTGTAAGCAATGTAAATTGCTTACATTTACATAAAATGATGTAAAATGTAAGCAATTTGGAAAATGAGGAATAGAAGAAATACAAAGTGGGACTCTCATCAGCTGTAGGCCTATGACAAGTCCTACCTCTTGAGATGTGGTGCAAATGAAAACCACACATGACTGGGAATCCCAACGTGCTGTAAAAATTAAGTGCCGAAAGCAGTAATGGACATGTTCCTTAAAATCAAGTCACCTAATAACCCAGGTCATCCCCAAGATGCAGAATCATAACTACCAGTATTTGAAGCAGATCACTCCATTTTCTATTTCCTCAAATACCTGAATAAATAAAAAATATTTGAAGCCGAAGCTATTTTACAGGTTTTCATTCTTACTCCTGTTTGCAGCATAGCCGATAACCTTTTGCGTTCCTCTTGGCTGTAGCCACCAACATTCCCATCTGTACGGAAATCACATTCCCACTGCTGGGCATCTCCAAATATCACACCTGAGGAAGCGTGCAGCTCCTTCCCACCTCACCCATACTACCCTGACAGATTGCAAAGCCTGGAGTCCTTCAGTGCTCCCTTACTTTAAAACACTCTCAGATACTTTGATCTAGTCACAAAGCCTCCAACCAAACCAGCTCTGAGGAATCTCTCCAAACAAAACACCCCCTTGTAGTTCCCCCCGACCCTCAGCAGCCAGCATGGCACAAGCACAACAGGATGAAACCAAGCGTGCGAGCTGCCTGCAAAAGCCTCGGCCCCTCACTAAAGGAAGAGCTCTCTATGCTCATTGTTTTAACTCATGAATCTGCTCCTTTCGACCCAGAGTGTAATCTGCTTATTCCAAATGACTCATCTCTAATTTCAAATGTGTTCAGTTTACTTTTAGTTTGCTTAACTCTAAGTTCTCACCTGACAGACGGCTGCATGACAAAGCTCCTCAGTCACAGTCATTGCTTTTGGATCACACTCACTCCCAAACCCCAAACTCATTACAACTACTCGGCTTGGGGATGCCAAGACAATCCCTGCTCTATATTAATCCTTCGAACTCCTTTGACTTTTTCCTGTTGCTGCCCAGCTTCACATGAATTGCTCTGTTGCTTTCTCACTAGAACTATTACAAGTTTCTGCTGCGTGCAGCTTGGCTCCCTACAGCAGGAGCAAATCAGCTGTTTGCCTTTCACCACAATACAGACATGCAAGACAGCCTAGAAAAATATGTAAGGAGAGTAATTTAGGGTGTGACCATAATGAGAAGGAAGGAGAGACACAGATCTGCAGTGAAACACCCACTTATCCCCAAGGGTGAAATCATCCCCAACATGGCAGCAGGTAGGAGCCACGCTGTTGCTAGCACAGTTGTAAATTTATGCAAGTTAGCCAGCAGTCAAGTTTAAACCAAGGCTTTAGAAAAAACATTCAGCAACAGGTTGAATTTGTTAGGAAGCTGCATCATGCTTCAAACAAACACCAGACCATTATGTTGATTATCATCAAGACTGAAGCAGGTTTGTGATGCCCTTTAGAAATTCTAGCAAAATTATTCCAATACAAAACCAGTACGACCTTTGGTTGCTTAGACTGGAAGACGGATGTCACAGATCCTGTGCTTTTATTCCCTCATAGAAGAGGAGACACCATCAAGCAGCTGAAATGCTTGACAGTAAGAATGCTATTGCAGACACTGCTGTTCCCTGCTTATTGGAGCTTTCCACGTAGAGCAGCTCAGCTCCAGTTCTTAATCTGACTGCCTCTCAGGATGGGGAAGGGATTCACATCCGCCACACAAGGCTTTGAAAACTTTATGTAGGTTAAGGAATGAAGGATATATCATGTCTTTCAAAGGCAGTAGATTTTACAAGAAGAGCTGGTTCTGGACAAAAAGTGTTTGGGAATGAAGTAACTCAAATCTTTCAAGAATTCAATTCCAGTCCTGAATCAGCCCTTAAGAAGTGAACTGCATGCCAGCTCTATCCTTAGACAGTTTCCCTGTTTGCATAGGGGCAGAAGTAGCAGAAGAAAAATAAAGAGTTGTTTTCCCAGGAAATTAAGGTGAAAAAAAAAAATGTCAGCTTCAAAGCTAGCTATTTCAGCTGCATTCTTTCCACCTTGTCACATTTGACAGTAACACACTAGAACTGACCCAGGGAGGTATGGAAGCCAGCACCTCCAGTTCCCTGAACAGGCGGCAGCAGGACGAGTGCAAGCTGCAAGCAGTTCCTGCAGTATCTATAAAACTGCATTCTTGTGGTGAAATTAGGCAGGGATTAATTATCTGACTTGATACAATGGAGAAAAAAAGTCCTCCTAACAGATCCATGTTCTGGTAGTTCCAGTTATGTCTTGGGTTTTTTAAAAATTTTATTTTATGCCCAACAGAAACAGTACTTCTAAAAGAAATGACAACAGGATTACGAGTTTCTTATGGTAGCGATTGTGGTTTCTGCAAGAATTGCTAGTTTCTTCTGGTTACCATTATACAGAATCTATTTCTTTTTAATGCTGAGTTCATCACATTTGTAGGTTCAGAGTGAACACGTTAGTTATGTTCGGGACTGTACTACAAATGCACTTCTATTTTAAATTCAAAGTAAGAGATTTAAGAGACTGCCTGCGGCGAGTGTTTGTGACTCCTATACAGTGGGAGGTTACCAGCAAAGAACAAGATAAATATGCTTAAGTAACAGCCCCCCAACACAGCTACTCTTGCCTAATAAAACAGCCCTTTGACAACTCAAAACAATCTGATCCTCCCAGTCTCTAGGGCATCCAAATGCCCCTGCTATTCCAAGCTGCTTTGCTGAGCTGAGCGGACTGCCAATGTTGGAAATCTGTCAAAAATGCACCAACGGATTGCTTTTCTTTTCCCTTCACAATATGCTTTTGACCCATTTAAATCAAACTAGAGCCAAGCTGCAGTGACTGGTTCTCCATAAGCCTATGTAAGGCAGGGAACAAATTATTTTTTATTTTGAAAGGAAGAAATGCAAAAGGAACAGATGAGTGGGATTTCTAGGCAGTGCCTAGAGTGGACAGTAGTGAAGTATATCTTCCCAGTTGAAAGTTTAACAACATGTTGAAACTCAGCAGAGACATGGGAATCTACTGCAAAAATCTTCCATTCACAAATCACTCCAGAGGATTTCCAAAAGTGAAAGCGGCCAAAGAAAGGGAAGGCCTGAAGGGAGTCCGTCCAAGCGGGTCACTAGTGCACCAAGAGGGGGAAGAACACCTGGCTGCAGCTCCTGCAGCATCCAGGTACACCCACACACTTCCCCACACAAGAGACGGGATGCCTCATCCCAGAGGCATCCTCTTCCATCCATCTTGCACCAGAGTGGTAGCTCTGCAGAGACTGACCACCCCCCTCACACCAGCCAGCACAACTTGTGACAAGCCCTGTCCGATGGCTCATTCTGGTTCTCAGCAATGAAACACTACCTACTTGTTTGTGCATCGCTGCAATGATGGGATTTGCCCAGCTTTACACCTTGAGCTTTGCCCTTCATGTTTCTGTGTCCATGACCTAGTTAACGAGCACTTAGGTTTGAAGAGACATCAACTTCTGCATGTGTAACCGTTTACGAGTGCTCACCTGATTCCTTTGTCTCCCCATAAGCAGCACGCAGAGAACATACAACACCTCCAGCTTATACATAATCTCGTGCATGATCTTCATGGACTGTGGAAGCTGTGTTCGTGTTGAGGTGTTGGCCAACCCACTTTCATCCGAAGACTCTGAACAAGATGGCAAAGATGTGAGCCTGAGGCAGCTTCAACAGGAAAGGATTTGTTACAGTTATTACTTTTACACTGAAACACTGCAGATGTAAGACCAGCCCGTCTCCTTGAATCTTCTTCTCAACTAAAAGTAGTGACATACAACAACCAACTAACTTAAATTAAATGCCACAGAAGAGAAAAAAGATAGCTGGAACTTTAGAGGAGATAAAATTAGGTTTTAAAAATTATTTCATTTTTCCATAATAAGCTAAATGGCATCATCCATCTAAAATAAGTAGGATCACCCATATGAATTAATAGACTACCGCACCAGAAAGGACATGGCAGAAAAGGTAATAAAAGTAGGGGTGAGATTATCAGAAGTATTTACTATTAGTCTGCTTTCATTTCATACCTCAGTACCAGTATACTTAGGCCACAGTTAAATAATTTTCATAGCCCTATCTAGAATTATACTGCTAAGTGCAGAAACAGGATACAACATGCCACGATTGCAAGTGGAAAATGTGACAGAAATCATGAGTGACACAGAGAAAGCAAATAAGGACATAATGAAACTTGTAGTCTGCAGTTCAGAAAGGAATTAGTTGTGTATTGTGTGAAGAGCTAAGTGATGAACTGCCCTGCCACAGGATAAATGCTTTTTGAACCCATGTGAAGAAATAGTAACCAGGCAAACATACAAAGGAAGGAAACTATCAAAGGCTGAACAGCATAGACACCACCTCTGACTCTGAAGTCCCTAAGCCACAAGCCACTGGACACTGAGGTAGTATTCTGGGAAAGTACATATAGGTTTGCTCGCTAACTGATGTTGTGGGTCAAGGGCTGTGACTGGGTCTGTTCCACCTCAGTAAAATTGCCTTGTGAATTCTGTTCCAAAATACCAAGCATTCTCCACTAAGCATTCCACTAAGCTGGTGTGTATAAAGGTATGTGCGTGATGCAATTTGAGCACTCACGTATTTCATTTTTTGCGTATTTTCAGAAGTCTTAATGATTAATTGCTACAAAACTAATGAACAAGCTGCATAAGGAAGAAAGTTTTCCAAAGAAGCACAGTAGCAAAGATTTAGATACCAAAATTTTGGGATAATTCTCATTACGTTATCAAATACTTTTGAGTTCTACAAGACATACATTGCATTTTTGTAATACTGAAGGGTGAAGAAACAAACCATGCGCTTGCTTCAAAGTATTTTCCTAACCTTGTGTTAACACTTCCATATGCTCACCTGGAACAGTTATTTTTTTTTCCAATTAACTTACTTAATTTTCCTGGAACGACCTTTCTTCTGTTAAAGGAGAGACTGCTTGCTTGGTATGAAGTATTTCGACCTAAAGCCATCAGCCTAAGCTTTAGAGCAAAACGTTGGTAAAGTCACTTACCTCAAACGTGTTATTTTTGTCACTCCAGGGGAGATTAGTGCTGAGGATGTACAGTGTTATGGTGTTATCTAGGTGTGCAAAGGGCACAGTTTGCCATAGGACATTTCCTTTTGCTAACTTCAGTTCATGAAAAAAAATCAGTGCTACATGAGAACAAAACGGGAGTGAGACCTAAACGCTGATGCGTCAGTCTTTCATGCAAGAAAAGGGGAATCAATACCAGTTGAAAGGAAAAGCAACACAGCAAACACTGAAGAAGGTTAAGATATGCATCAGCTAATGGTGGCTAGAGGAATGCAAGCCAGATACCTGTACTGCTCTGCTCTGCCTCTTCATTGGCCACTCTCATCAGTGCATCAAGTACTAGTGCATTGTCCAGCCACGTGTACCATTCTTCCAACTCCTGGAGGAAGCTGGAAGTACCTGTTGTTTCAGACACCTTCCGTGTTGCCAGTTTGCACAATCGCTCAATGAAGCCCGGAATATTCAAAAGTGTAGCTGAAAAAAAAAAAAAAAAAAATTATTACTCTTTAAGATCACCAACACAACAGTCATCAAATCCTCTATACCACAAGATACCAAAACATCTACATTGATAATACAGAAGAGTATGCAGAAACAAATTCCATCTGGCTAAAAAGATCCAAAGATGGAAGAAGTCAGTGTGCTCTCTTATTAAGGACTGGAAAAGAGCGTACATACCCGAGGAATAATTCAATCAGTGTTAAACTGGTTTGTGTTGGACTTACATCGGAAAATAATTAGTTCTACCTTACTCTAACCGCTTGTTTCCAGCCAATTCCCTTTTGCTGGCACAGTTGTTTTCCAGTCCACCGTGAGTCAGTATCAAGGAACTGATCTGGCTGAAAATTAAGCTGACAGAAATAAAGCAGCAGCCCTTGGAAGGCGCAGCTCCACCTCCCCTTTCCTCTGTGTAATGCTTTCTCCTTCTTTTTACCTCCTGTGGTGTTTATCTTGGAGCAAAGTGAACTAGCTAACTTTCATAGCTGGGCAGAAAGCTGTTAGCTTTTTAAGTACTAGTTTCCTGAATTAGTTCATCATGGAGCAAAACAGATGGGGAACACATGAAAGCAGTCCCAGGTTAGAGGGTTTTAATTGTTGTGGAACTGCGCCCTTAGAAACAGCAGTTCAAGGACAGAAGTCACTGGTCATCAAAACGCTTAGGGGGCTTGGGGAGGTGCTGGGAGCTGCATTTGTCCTAAAGTTTTCACAGAATACCTTATCTACAGGACCTGTTTATTATAGATACATGGGTTAAGTCTTCACTTCACTACACCCTTGCAGATGCAAGGAGAAAAGGACAAAGAATTTGGCCATGAACACTATGTGGAAGAGTTGCGAGATTTTGCCCGCTGGTACCGTCTCTGAAAGAATAAGCTCCCTGATAAAATTTTTTAAATGGAATATACAGTCTTAGATACAGTCTCTAATTGTGCAAACAAAAAATGATGAGTTAAACATTTGCTTGGCTAAGTTCAGCTCTGCAGGATTCAAGCTTATTCAGTTCAACTAATTTAAACTAAACTTTGTACCCACATCTAGACATACTTGTCCATTGCTCTTTACAAGTAAGCTCTGGCAATCACAGGGTAGAAGAATATACACCCCCCTTTAAAGTTTCTCAGCTTCTGGCTGCTGATTATACCATCCGTCTCTCACTGGATGCTATAGAGGTGGCAGTGGTTACAAATGGAGCTTTGTTGTTCACGGCTAACACAAAATGTTAGAAGATGGGAGAACCAGCTCCAAAACCCCTTTTTGCACTTCCTAAAACTGTTTGGCATGGGCCTATGTGAACATCTGCTTCAGAAGTCCAAAAGCTTTTCAGCATAGTAAGAGCTGAAAACAGCAGATTCTACATTTGAGGGTATTTTAATTTAAATCCCTTAAAATTCATACTCATTCTTCTCTGCAAGACTTCTGCATCCGAGAAGTACTCAGCAAAACAAGGAAATCCGCACTGCGCCCGAAGTTAAAGTTGAGATTAGACCCACAGATTTCCAAGGCTGGTGGTAACAGTGGGCAACATGATTAATATTAAACACACTTTCCTTGTTGATAAAGACATCCTGCTCAGGATAATGTCACATAAACTCAGAGAAGTAACTGCTCCGCCAGCAACTATGCTGCATGCGGATTTAGCTCAGGAACTTGTATTTTAAGGAGGACACTGAAATACTGACAGTTGCTAAAGGGAAGGCCATGGAAGTGACTGAACGATAGAAAACAAACCCAACTATTTTAAGCCACTCAGTTCAGAGAGGGCTGAAATGACAGAAATTAACTCACCTAATTATCAACACCATGTGAAACTGAGAGCTACAAAGTTTCATTAACAGAAAAGTCTGTTTCCAGGAAACCGCTTGAGGGAAGTAAATAAAGAAAAATGCTTTGTAAGTCAGAATGCTTACAGTATCCTCTAGAAACATATGCCACAGATATGACATTGAGAAGAGGGGAAACTTTACACATTGTTGAGATTCTTCTGCATTTGTTCCCAACACAACAATTACCTTGATTAATTTCAGCTCGAGAAGGACCCAAGTTTTTTTTCTGCTGGGCATTTTTGGCAAGCAGCGTGTGCTTGTCATCGCTTCCTGTGTCAAGTTCAGAAATTGTGACAGCAAGGATCCTGCAGAAGTTCGCAAGCTGCTGCTGATCAAAACTGGACACAAGGCTTGCAAGATTGGGAATATCATCCAGTTGTATCATTTCCTGGAGAAAGCAACATCAACTGATTAGGTCGCACGTGATACTCGGTAAGTGAACACAGACACAGCCAGGCGGCTTCAGCTACAGCTCTTCCCTGAGGAGATCTGTGTGTTATTTCAACGTTAGTAAAAGAGAAGCAAGCAGGCAGTGACAAGTGAAGAGTCTGAAACCAGCTGTGATTTACAACTGGTGTCACTTCCATTTATCAATTCCAAAAGTACAGATATCCATATTTTAAAGACTAACTATTTACATAAAATTTAAGGGCCTTTTTTTTTAAAAATTAAAAAAAAAAACCCAAACCACAACCTAATTTAACTCACAAATTACATTCAGGTATTAGAAAGCTTCAATTTTGTTTTCCACTTCTGTATTTTCTTTGAAACTCACAGATGAGAACTGACTTCTAGAATCTTTTTCTCAGTCTTTTTCAACAAAAGGTATTTTTAACAAAAAGATGTTGGAAACAGCTTTCAGCAAAGAGCATTTATGTTCAGAAAAACTAAGCTCGTTTCCTGTCTCAGGAACTAGCATCACCCTCAACTTTACTCCAAAAAAACAGTAACAAGTTACAGAATCCTGACCCTCTCCACAAAATGCAGACATACTTAATTCAGGGTTTTCCCAGGGTTATACCTCTAATATTTTATTTGCATCACATCACAGCACTAAACTGGAATGATGCTAGCAAGCAAGTTCAAAAACCTAGTTTGTGCAGAAGACCTAAGTGTCCTGTTCCTCCAGCCTACAACTTCTCAGAGAGGTGACAAACCCCAAGGTAAGAGAGAAGCACGGGAAGCCTTCTAGGTGCCAGGAAGACTACTAAAATATCTGAAGTGTAATCAGAAGGCAAGGATGAAAAATTAATTTATATGAGGTTCACTTTCTTTATTTGAAATACTGGTTGTACGTCAAGACAGCTAGGTACTCACCCCCATCATCCTCTGCAGGCTATGCAAAAGCATTACAAATATGATACCACATCCATAATTTGGCTTCTCTGTGAAATGTAATTGAAGTTAACAAACACTGTAAACAGTCAGGTTTCAAATAAGCTACAAGAAGTGAAAATGCTGGCTTAGAGGATTACCTTCAGCAACTCTTCAGAGAAAGAGCTGTCCTTCCTCTACTGGTCTGAAAAGCCATACAAATAAAATTAAGAAACCAGTAACTAACCTTTTTAACTCCCAAGATATCTTCAATGAGCGTTGCAGTTTGTAGGAATGTCTTTTTGTTTGTCATCAGTGTAAACAGGAACAAGACAAAGTCATTTCTTTCTGCCAATCGCCTTGTGACTCCTTCCGTCTAGAAAGCAGTAAACGCACACACAGACCCAGAGTCAGAGCCCACTCTGAGAAGTTATACGTTACCAGTAGTTTTACAGATGATGTGTTATCGAATCAGCTGTTCCTGAAACCAGGAAACATTGTGTTTATGGTGACCAAAACTAACTCCAGTCCTTGTCTGAAGTTAACAAGATGCTGCCAGAAGCTACAGGCTCCAGGACGATACGCTTCATCTCAAGGCAGTCGTTTACTTGTCTGAATCAAAATTAAACACTGCACGCCTGGAAATATGCCAGAGAGGCTTGTCTCTGGTTTCCCATACAAATTGTAACCAGCTCCATTTTATGGCATGTAAATGCAGTCCCCAGATTCCTCCTAAACTGTCAGCATTGCTCTCCGCTAGGCAGAGTCTGAGCAATCAGAATCAAGCATTGGTCTTAATGAACTTGGCGATGAACCCAAAAGTCATGCTCAAGCATGAACTCAGGTTCATCACTGAGTTCGTTAACGCCACCTTTCATGCTCTGATCTCTGCTCAGAGCACACAGCCAGTCTTTTCTGGAATTGAACGTAACTTAAAACTACATCCTTACTGCTTGCAAAGCTGTCTATGATGTATGACTGACATATTACCAGTGCTCACAGAACTAGACTAGCTTAGCTGCTTCCTGAATATTTACATGTAAGCATAAGAACAGTTAATATTGCACACACAACATTTCTGCGATCCTGAACACTTCTCATTCAAGAGAGAGCAGTAATACTGAAGTGAATTAAAACAGTAGCTAGTCTCTAAATTGCAAACTTGCTTCTTAGCATATCACACTATTCACAGTTTGCAAAAGTTGCATTACCTGTACTTAAAAAAAAAATAAAAATCAGGTAAGTCAAGAAAAAAACATTCCCTCTCTTCTCCCTCCCATGTGTACATAGATACTTAGCAGTAAGAACACAATCTATTAAGACTCGAATTCTCGAGATTAAGTTGTCTTTGGAAGAGCTCCAAGCCAGTAACAGCCTTTTTTTTTTTTTTAATTTTTGTTAAACAATGCTCCCTAGGTTATGACATAATAAAATGTGTGATTAAGTAAACAATCCTGGGGATGTTGCCTGCATGCATAATCTGAGGCATGTGCTTTTAGATTCAGAATTTTAATGGCAAGGTATTTCAATAGGCCTTAACCCAGTGTCTGTCTTAGCACCGATCTACCATCAACTGAATTGAACTAATATTCATCACATGAAGGAGTTGCAGGATCAAACTTAAAACACTTTACCAGCACCATTACTGAACAAGACTAGCTGTAGCTCAGGTTAGCAGGCATCGACTTCCAGTTTCAGATTTTAAGTTTGAATACAACAAAGGCTGACATGGCTTTCCTATGGAAACACGGATACAGAAAGATCCAAACAAGAGGATTTAAACTTGACAATGTCGCTAAGAAAACAGAAACTATTTGAGTAACACATCAAAATATAGGCCGGTCCTATATTTAACTGAAGGAACTTTAATGAAAAGTTTCAGAGTAAGTTCAACTCATGCTTAAAAGTCTGTATGTTGTCTTATCAAGCGGCACATGTAAAGCATGATCAGCAGAAGAACACTTTTCCACAGCAGTCGTACTTACACATATACAGGTGTTGTACAGTATGCTTAAACAGTCCTTGATGAGGTCATCGCTTACTGCAAAGGAGAAAACAGACATTCACTGGATATACAGGGTGGGGGGAAGGACAGTTCATGCATTTTTCTCCACACAGCATCAATTCATAGAAAAGCTTTCAATCTGATTTATTTTAACACTTAAAATATATTTTCACTACAGACATACAACAGCTGCCTCTAGCTCAAGTTCAAGTAACTTCACCTTTGAAGTTCCCTGGTTGATGAGCATGGAGTGTACCACGACATTTCCTTTCCTCAGAAGGGTTCAGGGAATCAGCAGAATCACAGACAGGTGAAATGAAAACACTGAACCAAAGCTGCTCCAGCAGTAAAGTTGCGCTGAAGCTACTGCACCCCATTGGTAAGTTCTCCGTATGGTAATTTGGAAACTAGTAGTCACTATGACTAGGTCAGGAAAACAGCATATTTTTCACTATCTCGCAATCTATAACTCCTATTACATAAACAATGTTTTGTGGCTTATTATTAATAATTGTTATCTGTGGCTATAGCCACAGTAACAATAAGTTTCCACTGACTGCAGATTTACTGCACTGAGAGAAGTGTATTACGCTGAGCACATGAATACTCCTGAGCTCTGCTTTCCAACAGGTGACTATCGTAAATCCCATCATGAATCAGTACTACAGAGAACAAAGAAACCAACGATTCATTTAGAAACAGGAAATTGCTGGTATGGAAAGAGAGTAACAGAAAAATAGAATAATTTCTGTCTGAACAAGGACACAAGGCAAGAATGGAAAAAAAGAAGATAAAACATCTATTTACTTACTTTTCTGTTTCTTTTTCTGTGTAATAAGAGTTGGTCTCATGAGAATTTCTACTAAAAGCTGTAACAAGAAGATGAAGAATTAAGGGAATAATCACTGAAATACAAATAACCAATTAACTTATCAGTGACAAATCCAAACTTAGTCCTGTCTCTGCTGAAGTCACAAAGGTGAATAATGGAAGCTCTATAATCAAAACCCCACTGGCGTCAAAGCTACATTGACAAAAAATAGTTGTATTTACCCTGAAGAAATAATAACAGTTGTTTAAAACAATTTCCCACTGGCAAGTTTTAAAGACCTTCAGTCTGCAAAGAATGTAATGTCACATGGATCCAGATAACATCAAGGATGGCTCTCACACATCTCGCATAATAATGAGTCTTTAGCGATAATCTGCCAGGAGATGCAAATTTTGCAAAGGCTCTCCCTAAATCTTGCTGGGCTTCAAAATATATCTCAGGTCCAGACATAACAGAACTTAGTTGCTCCAGATTTTAATCTCATCAACAAAGAGCAAGCCACTGCTTGTGTACCTGCACTTTGTATGCATACTTACATACACATTTACAGATACCTGAAGTGTTGTTTCATTTCTATTTAAGGAATGTTAACAGTCAGCCTTCCAAGACTAGGACTATGGTTCTGATAGATGTAGAACTGATCTCTAGTTGTTCCAGCCTATACCACTGGTTTACTTCAAAACATTTTTTAAAATAGCAGTTTATTTAAAAATGAGAGTTAGTCACTAGAAGGAAATGATGACTTCTGCAATAAGTATTGCTAAAAGCTCCTAGCTCTAAAATTCGGTTTAAAATTGTTAAGAGCAATGTAGGCATCACCCAGGCAAGTCATTCAGCTTACATTTTACAACTTGCTCTATTTGTCCCAACTTAACTTTACCCTTCTTTTAATGAACCACCTACCCAGACACAGAGGAAAACATGTGATAGCATCAGAGGCACTGCCCACATTTTAACCACTGATGAATAAAAAAATAGGCAACTTTAAAGAGGAATATATATTTTCCAGGAGTATTTGTAATAGTAGCTGTAGCATCAATAGCACAGAGAAAAATGACTGCAGCAGTAATGTAGTGCTTATATTAGTAGCTTATGTTTTAGGAGGAGAATGCATACCTCAAGGCTTGGTACCCAAGATAGCATCGAAAGATATCCCTATGCTTGAGATGCAGGCCACCTGCTCTTCTCCTGGGAAAGAACACCTACTGCAACAAAGCCTGTCTTTTAAGGGTGGCCGCAGTCATGACCGCTCCTGCCTTGCCAGAAAGTGGATCTTTTCACCTAGTATTTACTTCTTCCTGGTCAATACTATAACCCACCACGTATTTATCACCTTATTCTTGCAGAACTGGTATGCTCCTCACATACACTCCAGGGACTGGACTGCAGTGGTGTGAGACACTCCTTGGAGAGGGCTTTCTTCAGCCATCCTACTGAAACTGCAACAGTATGCAGCAAGAAATGCAAGAGTCCAATGGCAGAAAGAAAAAAAGCTAAGAGGGCGCCTCACCAGAGGCAAAAGGTGCAGAAAGGGAGTTATGAGATGGAACGGGGTTGCATTCAGGTCCAAAGTCCACGAGGCTCATGTATCAGTTCATGTGTTTATACTCTCAGGTAAAATTTTACATGCATTCATATAAAGGTAGGAGACACAAATGTGCTTTTGTTCTTCCTTGATGTAAAGGCTGCCAGAATCCAAAAATATTTTAAGGAATATACTATCACACACTACAGCATACAGAGAGCACCGCAAATTTAGTGTCCTTCAAAATTGCTCACGCTTCACAGTTCAGAATACTGCAACACAGAATTAGCTCGACATACACAGAACCAGCAGATTAGACTACTTCCCTTTCAAGTCCTAGAATAGGCTTTTCAAAAAACATAGAGCACTAGCTTCTACCACTGCCTTTAACCACATTAAACCCACTTGTATCAGCCAAATCTCTGGTCATAGTAACAAGTAATTACATTGTATCTGGTATTTACCACCTCCAGCCCGAGGGGGGAAGAAAAAAATTTAAAAAATCAAAACCAAAACATACCCCAACCCAACCAACCAAGCCAAACAAACAAAACAAAAAACCCAAACAAAACACCCCAACACACACTTACTCTGCATTCTTATGTTAAAAGCACTTCTACAGGAAGTATCACTATTTCCCTTTAAAAACCAGGGAAATTTAGAATATTTTCATACAATGTTCTAAATTACTTGGGTAGCTGACGACTTTTGTCCCCAGTTGACAGGATACCAGCAACTAAACCAGTTAATTTCAAAACAACATAACCTAAATACCAGTTTTACTTAATTAAAGGCATGCTAAGTGTAATAAGAGAGAAGTAGCAAAGACACTGTTTAGTTAGACCAAAAAAAAAAAAAAAAAAAAAAAGGAAGAAAGTGTCAATTAGTTCACTGCAAAATACAAATCATACATTTCTAATGCAAGTTAAGATCCCAGAGTCTGTCACCATAAAATTGAGCAAACTGGGATATTTGTGTAATGTAGCATTAAAACAAATAAACAAAAAGACCAAAATTGCCAGAATGCGTAAGGAAACCTTGCAGGTCTGTTTAAAAACTCTTCCATAGGTGAAGCAGTCCACATTGTCTGTGTTTATTGCTGGCATACAATCTGGCTAAGAGAGTGCCCTAGTGTGCTTAAAAAAACACCACATATCCTTCAGGCGTAAGTGAAATTATCAGTGCTCTAGTACCAACTGTAGCATTTAATTTCACAACTAGAAATCATTTGAAAACTGTTTTCATTGAGAACCTAGAGGTCTAACATTTTTTAAGCTAAAAACAGACTGCCTGAAGAAACAGCCAGGTGTTCTATAAGAAAAAGCACCTCACTTATGATGTAATACCTTGGAAAATACACCTTTTTCACATTTTTATTAACAGAAACAGGAACAATTCTAATGCTTAACACCAAATTGGTAAAGTCATTCTGTAGCTTGCATCTAGAAGCTTCAAAGGTCTCAAAGCCCCCACTTACAGATTTCTCAGTGGTATGACTATTACACAAAAATCTTTTGATATCATTGAAAAAAAACCACACTTACGTCAACTCCTCCAAATAAGTCAAATGTGTATGTGTTTGGGAAAGTGGACTCTTGAGCAGCTTTTCTATCTTCTGTAACAAATGCCATGGCTTCCATTGAAAGAAGTGGAGAAATTTCCTGCATGCAGTAAAAAAAAAAATAAATAGTTCAAAAAGAAAACTGGTCATCAGTATAAACACAGTTGTGTCTGACTGTGTGATCTACTGACTAATCAATTACATGCATTCCCAGCTCTTACCTACCAGACAATTCACAGATGCTATCATACAGTTTCAAAAATTAGTTACAATATGATCACAGTAGACTTTAAAGAAAAAATAGCCCCTAGCTTTCAGGAAGAATAGTGTAGATGGTACCTTTAAGATGCTTTGGCACTGGGAGAAATCGCTGTTTGGGTGGCTATGTTCATACAGCTTTTGCAACAGTAAGGGAATCCCATTCCATTTTGCTTGTTTATCTCTTTCCTTCAACAAGGCCTCTGTGATCTGCAACAAAGAAAGAACATAATTCCCATGTGTCCAATGCTTCATAACCAGGAAAACAACCTTATCACCTCCCCAAAATATCAATATCAGAAATGACAGAAAAATACTTTATTGTAGAGAGGACTGTCACAAAATCCAGTATCTCTTTCCATGCAGCAATTTATCCAGGAATGGTAGCTGCGGAATTTTACAGATGGTCAAAGTACCTTAAGCAGAACAGGGCTTAAAGCAGATGTTACCATTTAGAGTACTTAATCTCATTCCATATTTTGATATTGATCATATATTTTTAAATGGGAACACATTAGTCTCTAAATAATTCCATTAGTAGAACTCCAATTGACAGATCACTGAATGAGGAAATGAGTGCCCTTGACACTACCAAAAACTACACTAGTCTAAGGTAGACAGAACATTGAAGATGGAAAGGCTTCATCACTCATTACATTCATCTAGTAATGAGTATTTCCTCAGACAAGTCTCTGAAGCCATTATTGGTCGTAGCAATGACCCAAATCACTAAAATGTACAAGGAGGCTCTAGAAGAATATATCAAAGGTACAGCAAAAATTTCCTCTGTAGTCTGGGGCTGGTTATAAATGCAGACCAACAACTAAATCAGCAGAACACCACCGGCATTATCCTCTGGGAAACAGGCTGCAACCACAAAAGAGAATACCTTAACATTTCCTGCTACATTTCTGCAAACTTTCTCCAATTTTCCTCTTTCCCCCAAAAATACGAAAAAAAAATTCTCAGTATTCACTACAATATTTTACACCTGAAAAAAAAAGAAGTAGCAGGACAAGACTAATAATTATTCTGCTTAGAATCCACAAAAGATGTTTTGAAACCTGAACGCTTCCAGGTTACTGCCAGCAGATGCTGTAAAGGAGGAGCTCTTCAGTAAAGTTCACCATTCGGTCAATGCTGACCAAAATTTAACTCCCTCCCTTAACGATACTTCAGAGGTAACTAGACCAACCCCAAAACAGGGACTTATCGTTGTACAGAAAGGTAAGGTAGACAGCAATAATTAAAGCCAGTAGGATTTCAGGCTGGTTTTACAAAATTTTTATATGCCCTCCAAATTAAAAAAAAAAAAAAACAAAATAAAGAAAACTCCCAATCCTCAGGTCAGCAAGACTGTAACATTTGTGGATTTTTCCTAGGCCTAAACCTCTAAGTTGCTCTCATTCTGCACAAGTCACTCCCGGAACCTTTCCGCAGTTAACTTGCATTGTTTCCCTCCAGCCTGCTTAAATGTTCATTGTTAATAGCTAACAGCCAGGAAATCTTGCTGCTTATTGTTTCAGCCAAGACATCGTTCTCAGATATACCTCAACGTACAATTCCAAAGGGCTATTCAATTCCTGATTAGACAATTATATGCAAATATACTCCATTTTCTGACTGAGAATTTAATTCTTTTCTCTGTTTGTTAGCACACAGGAAGACCAGAAAACTGATGCAAGCACATGAAAACTCAGACTGGCAATGATACCTGCTGTGGGTCCTCACCCTTCTTCTAAGCTTCCCAGATACTTAGGGTTCTTCTCCTGATGAAATACCCAAATTTGTACTTAACTAAGAACTTCAAGCCTCTTGAAGTTACCAGGTTTTTTTTGGTACAAGGGGTGACTGAAGCAGCATGAGCAAACCTGAGACATAAAACTCTCCAGTTTTTAACTTTTCCCTGCTTTCTGACTTCTGAATATAAGCAATCAACCAGCACTGCTGGATAATGACAGAGTTCCTTCGGAGGAGGCCATTCGCAGGAGAAGTGGAAGGACAAACCCAGAAAGCCAAAATGGCTCATTGTTTGGACTGCGGGTAACTGCTCAGCTCCTTTGAAGTCACAAATTTCTACTTCTCCTTCTAATACCCAGCACAGAGAGAGTAAAAGGAGCTCTACCACTACCCCATCTCAGGTGTGCGAGGAGTACACAACTCCCGGGGAGGCAGGAGGAACCAGATTAATTGCTGGGTAAAGTGCAAAGAATGCGCAGCAAAATGCCAGGGAAAGACTCCAACTCTCCGGCTCCAGCTGATGTGGAAGATACCACAGGCAAAGATGACGTGCATGGGCTGCAATCTCAGGTTCCAGTAGCACAGCACAGAATTCAGCATCCAAGTGCTCTCAGAAAAGGTCAAAAGCCCTTAATCGATGTTAAAACCTTGTCCCAGGCTTAATAACACATTTGTAACTTGCATGTATGCTTCTTGGTTTGGGGCAGGATCCATCTCCGTTCTCACTTCTGTACTAGTAGGTCTTCCTCTCCCTGTCCTGGCCTCTGAGAGGCAGTCACTTGTGCTGATCCGCAGAAAACTCAGAACTGAAATGCTGAAAGAATGAAGCAAATGTTTCCTTGCTCTCATCTTCCTTGAACTGTTTTCAAAAAAAAAAAAAAAAATTTTTTTCTTTCTCTTGATTTAATACATGTCTCTAGTTTCACTGCAAGTTCTAACTTGTGGTCCCTATTCTGTATTTATGAGGCTACCCTGGCTCTGAATATTTCCATTGTGGCGGGGTGGTATTTGCCAACGCAAAGATTTTGGATTCTGTGGAGGGATTAAAATTCAGTTAGATTGTATGGAGCTGTCTTTCTTTACAACCATTTTGGTTAAAAACTGCATCTCATGATTTCTCTAATAGCAGCTAGTCAACAGTTTTCATTTATAAGCAAAGTTGGTTTCCTCCTTGCTCTTTTTGGGCAGACATTATTGAATAGTCATCAAAACTAGCACTGGGTCTTTCGGGGCCCCTTTCCCTCTCTAGAATTTTTTGGCCTTACCCAAGCAGGGTAAGTGCAACCGAATGCTGATTTCTCAGAAATTTTCTTCATTCACTGAATAGGGCTGGATAAAATATATGAAATCTTGCACACAAAGCTTGAGAAATTAGATACTATCTAGCAAGAAGGAGAGGTTGCAGAAGAAGCCCAGCTGGAAATGGCATCACTTAAAAGAAAGAGCCTACCTAACTGATGGTTGCGGGGGTTATGAACTGTCAAGCCATACTGGCGTTAGAAGATGACAGAGTAAGTACCAATTACTAGGAAAACAAAACCAGCATCAAAACTTCCTTACCACCCAGGCACAGTAAACCAAACTGGTACAAACACCAAGACTCCATGCAGTCATTTCTCAGAAGTTTGCCGTTACACATCCAAGTTCTGAATTACAAACCGAGAAACCCAAGGGATGGCATGTTGCAGCTCTCCAGAAGCGGTTATATTCCATCTCTGAAACAAGGTGGCACGCACTAGCTCAAGCCCAGGCACAGAGCTTCCAAACTGTGTTATAGTCCAAGCCGGTCCATACGATACCAGTTTTATGCCGGCAGTTTACTGAATGCTGCTCACCAGCCAGGTGATCTGTCACCTACCCAGGATCAGTCATCTCCCCCTCCTCCAGCTGTGCGGTTGAAGCCATGGCAGCATGGATTTACTGGAAGGGCAATCAAAGACTTCCAAGAGGATTTAAGTACAGAGTTAAAAATGTGTCATCAAGCCCATCCACAACTGTAAAGTAGAGCAGACTGAGTGGTTTTCTCTTTCAAGTCTCTCAAACGACTGGAGTCTAGGATTTCCCAGGAGATTACTCCAAAGACTGACAACTATCATAGGAAGACTTTCCTACTACAGAGTTTAAATAACTTTTGTGTACTTTCAAGAAAAATTATGCACAAAGGGCTGAACAAAGACACTACACACAAATCTAAATATTTCTTTTAAGTTTCTTCCTAGTCCTCCTGCATTACAAATCCTTTTAAAATTCCCCAGTACCCATTAGTATCATGGTCAATAAATAATTATGAATAACACCTAAATCTTCAACAAGTTATATTAAGTTATGTGTAAATATTTACCTAAATCCATCCCTTGAACAGTTTAGTTCCTCTTTCCTTTCTCTCCCTCCACTTTGCTATAGCATTTACTATTGATGTTCCTACCCACGACTGCTATCCTCCAGGCACAGCCTCTCCAACAGAAGCCGCTTATCCCTCCAACTGCTTTGTGCCCGTGTCCCTGCATGTGGTCAGAACCGCGTTATGAGCATTGCTAAAACATTTGTTACTGGCCTGAGATCTCCTGTAGTTATGATTGCTTCAAAATCCCTTCCTCTTCCGGTAAGGATTTTCCTTCCCAGTTGTCCTCCTGCATTGTGACGATGCTCATTGCCCTACAAAGTAAACCTCTTATTTTCTTAACCTTGCCTCCACCACTTTTCTAAGCTGTGGTCAGTGACACATCTCCGTGTCTTCCCATAGTTGCTGATGAACTGAAGGCCCCTGAGCACACGACAGCAGCAGAAATACCATGAGCTAATCCTCCCCTTTGCTTTCCAGAGTAGAGGTAACAGTTTTCTAATAAAATTGTATCTCTGTTTCACATTTTACACTTCAAACATTTCACTGTCTTGCTGAGCACTCACTACAGGAGGGTGTTTTCTGTGATCTTTCAAAAAAAACTCCAAGTAACAGTGACTCAGGTGTCCAAGAATCCTTTACAGCACTAAAATATTCACGCTGTGATAGACTTCACAGCTATGACACATCAGTGGTAATTTTTCTTAATTCAATTTTTTGTTGCAATCGTGCATTAAGGTAAGATTGGAAGTGTTTTAAAAAAGCAGAATTTCCAGTCTCAGTATTTTCCTTGACCACTTCTGAAGTATATATTCAAACATTCTGAAAGTTTAGAAGGAAAAAGAAGCACCAGATTATGGATCTCAAGAAACAGATGCAAGCACATGGTCTCTACACATTTTTAATAAAATCAAAGACTTTCCATATCCTTGCCTTCAAACTTTTTAGGTCATACTTTTAAAAAGCAGGAAACTAATATTTGTGCAATTAAATATTTAGTTTTCCTCTGAACAGTAATAACTTACGAAGTCATCTCTGACAGACTGCCAGGAGAATGATTATTCAGTATTTTGGGGAGTGCCCCATCATCCCAGCTTTTTATTATATTTTCCTTTTCAGTCGCTAAC